GTGTCTGTGTGTGTGTGTGAGTGCGCGCAGTGAGTGGGTGAGTGAGTGAACGAGTGTGCGTGTGTGTTTTTGTGTGAGTGTGTGTGTGTGTGTGTGTTCTCTGCCTTGCGTGTGCTTGTGTGTTTTGCGCGTTGTGTGCGTCAGTGTGTGTTTTGTGTGTGTGTGTGTGTGTGTGTTCTCTGCCTTGCGTGTGCTTGTGTGTCAGTGCACGTTCTTACCGTCTTTGTCGTGCTTGCGTGACTAGCATTTTCAAGCAAGCGCATGTCTACAACGTTGCTCAGGAGTACGAGCCTGGGCGCTTTGATGCGGATGACGCCGCTTCTGTGTGGTACGCTGCACAAATCTACAACAAGGAGGCTGGCGAGCACACCCCGGTCATCACAGCCTTGAAGCTTCAAGGTCAGGAGGCGTTTGAGTTTGGCGGGCCCGAACAGCGCGCCTCAGGCGATTTCCCGCAAGAGTCACTATTCATCCTTGTGCAGACTGAGTGGCAGCGACGCGTGCTCAAGGTGTGTGGTGCTGAGTGCCGTGCTCGCGTCTTGAATCCTTGCATGCATGGTCAATGATGTGCACCGCCTTGCAACACATGGGGCACTCTGTTGTCTCGTGTCGTGTTGGCGTGTCAATACTGCAGTGTGTCGCCAGCCTTGTGCACGTGGCTAATGGTAAGCGTCTCGTCATCACTTCCCATGCATGCTTGTTCTGTGTTTCCTTAGGAGTGTGGGCATCGTGGCATTTTTCTTGACTCAACACATGGCACAAACATGTACGACCACCCGTTGATTAGCGTGGTGGTCGAAAGCGTCTATGGATGGGAATACCTGTGGCGCACGCCATTGTGAGTCACGAGACGATCGGCGTCGTCGCACACTTTCTACGGAAAGCGGTTGCAGACCACGGTATCACTCCATCGGCCGTGATCACGGATAAGACGTTTGCCGAAGGTCGCGCCGTGGATGAGGCACTTCCCAACTCTCGCTGGCTTCTTTGCCAGTTTCACGTGAAGCAAGCTTGGTGAGAGGTCGTGTACCGCTTGCGCGACGCCGTGTGTGTGTGTGTGTGTATGTGTGTGTGTGTGTGTGTGTGGCTCCGTGTATGTGTGCGTGTATGTGTGTGTGTGTGTGTGTGTGTGTGTGTGTGGCTCTGTGTGCGGGAAAGC